CACCCTAACCCCTTAATTCCTCAATCACTACATAGAGCAGGGACTATATGGTGGATTTTATAGTAAACTCAGCTCACTGACCGTTCAGACATAATCACTGCTTTTTGCTCCGTTGGTCACGCAACTCCTCCTCCACCGGGTGGCGCCTACGCCATCTTTGTTATGGGCCGCTGTGACAGCAAATCCCATAATGCTTTGCGAGGAGAGCTCTCCGCACAAAGCATTCTGGGATATATCTGCCTCGGTCATTTTGAAAGAACCGCGGTGAGAAATGTGACCTGAAACCGTAGCTCACCACAGATATACGCCTGAAAGAGCGCATGCGCAGAAAATGATAGCTAACAGGATGAGCATGTAGGACGGCCTCACGTAAACATATCACTAGAATGATTGACAGTTATAAGGACCACCTTTTTAGATGATCCACCCAGAAATAAAAGATCATCCTCTATACTTAAGTAGAAGTATAAATCCTTCTGTTTAAAAACACTTTTGTAGAGGTAAGAGGATCAACTTTAGCTGTTTACTCCAGCAAAGTGTAAAAGTACCATTTTAAAACTACTAAAAGTAAAAGTAATGCAGGAAAAAATGTCAAAGACAGAAGCTTTACTGCATTACCCTGTTAAACATTTTTCTACAATTCTTGATGATAACTTCATAGATTTCCTTTTCTCAGTTTTATAACTAATTATAACAGTTTCAAATTTAACATTTGCATCATCTTGAAAAACAATTTATTTTGGTATGTGGGGAACAATAAGTTGGGGCAGCACCAAGTCCAACCACAAATAAATGAATTATCTGGATTAAACTAATTATAATTTTTTTTTTTTTTTTTTTAAATACCAACAGGCATTCCAATGCATTCGTACTCTTCACCAATCTGAGGAGTAGAAGTAAAAAGTTTTAGTCCAATGTGATTTATTATATTTTCTCCAAATGTCTCCATTTAGTGAACTGATTTGGGTGGTTATAATTTGCACTGATGTGTAATGGAAACGCAGCTCCTGGTAAAACACAGGCGTTGTCCTGATGATGCGGGGAACACCTCCCTGCTTCGGACGGCCCATTGGGCGCTCAGGAGAACCTGGGTCCTGATGGCTGCCTCTCTCTCCCCCTGACAGAGCTACCTGTACCAGATCTTGGAGGGGATTTACTTCTGTCACTGTCGCCGGGTCCTCCACCGGGACCTGAAGCCTCAGAACCTCCTCATAGACAATAAGGGCGTGATCAAGCTGGCGGATTTCGGCTTGGCCCGGGCGTTTGGCGTTCCGGTCAGGGTGTACACCCATGAGGTGAGCAGCAGACGTCTCCGACCGGACCTTCTCTGGTGCCACTCTAACCCTGACCTTTGCGCTCTCAGGTTGTGACTCTGTGGTACCGGGCTCCTGAGGTCCTGCTGGGTTCCCCCAGATATTCTACCCCTGTGGACGTCTGGAGCACCGGAACCATCTTTGCCGAGCTGGCTACCAAGAAGCCTCTCTTCCACGGAGACTCTGAGATCGACCAGCTCTTCAGGATCTTCAGGTGGGGGTCCGGTTGCAGGTTCTGACCCTGCAGGCCAAACAAGAGGCAGCTGGTTCTGTTGCTGACAGAGGTTCTTTTGCAGAACGCTGGGCACTCCAAACAACGACGTGTGGCCCGACGTGGAGAACCTGCCGGACTACAAAAGCACCTTCCCTAAATGGAAGCCCGGCAACCTGCCGTCCATGGTGAAGAACCTGGATACTGACGGTCTGGACCTGTTGGCGGTAAGAAGCAGGACCGCTGCTGGTTTGGTGTCAAAATAAGAGTCTGATGATCGACCTCAGCGTGAAGCTTATCTGTCTGATACGCATTCATTAGATCTTTGACCTCAGAACCTTTAGATTACTGACAGCAGATGATCAAACCTTCAGGTTTCCCTGAGGTTTAGAACCGCCTTAGAACCGCTCCATTGAAAGTTAAAAGTTCTCCTTCTGTTGCTGTTGTTCAATAAAAGTACGTTTTAAGATCATTTGAGGCGAGAATATTATACTTTAAAGCGTCACTATATGGTCCATTTACCGGTTTAATGCGGAATAAAAAAATAAAAAAAATTTCCGAAGTTGAGAGGACCTTGGCAACCAGCGGAGCTCCGAGGCTAACCGCAGTCCGTCTGCAGAAGCCCTCTCCCTGCATAGCTGTTTGTGAAGGACTGCTGGCTCTCATGACAATTTTTTTATTTTTGGCAAAAATTTCATTTGATTTGTTTATCTGACTGTGTTCATTATTATTCCCCCACTAAATGAAAAAAGTAATAATTTATTATTATCTAGAGACTATTAATAACAGGAGGTGAAATGCAGCTCTAGAAGAGCCGAGCGTCTGATGACATCACGAGTACGCTTCTGTTCCAATTGACCCATATCTATGCTGCGTGCTCGCGTTCTTGCCAAGACAGGACTTGACGAGAACGTGAGTCCGTACTCGCGTTCTCGTGAATTGAAAAACGGCCAGAATAAATCTGGGTCAGTTGGAACAGAAGCGTCCTGATGACATCACCAAATTCAAAGCTAGTCTGGAGCTTCACCCTCTGTTATTAATAGATAAATAATAATAAATTATGACTTCTTTCATTTATCGGGGGAATAATGATTAACTCAGTTAATAAACACAAATCAAATGAACATTTTGCAAACATGTGCCACAAACGGCTATGCAGAGAGAAGGCTGCTCATTCGGACCAACGTTAGCCCTGGCTGCCGTGACCCTCGGAGCTAAGCTGGTTGCAGTGGTCCTCTCAACATCGGAACTTTTTATAAATTAAGCATTAAATCAATTAATGGGCCATATAGTGATGCTTAAAGTATAATGTTCTCACCTAGAATGATCTTAAAACGTATTTCTATAGATCGTCCACAGAAAAGCAAACTTTTAACTTGATACTTTGTGCTCTGTGAGTGCTAACCTGGACGCTGCTGCAGTGCATGCTGGGACAGCTGCCAGTCTGGAGAACAGACAAGTCTGCTCTGATGCATGCTGGGTAAAGAGGGAGGGGCAAGAACAACATCCGGGGACTTTGTCCAGTTCTCTGTCTGCTGTTATTATGAATTGGAACAGTGCTAGGGCTGAGGTTGATGACGTTTCATGAGTACATGAGAACGCACAAGTACACAGATTGAGAAACAGCCTTAGACTCAGTGAACCTTCAGAAGAAATTTATAGAAACCTCACTGTCAGTAGAGGGGGTGTTAAACCAGAGATTTGATGGCAGGTTTCTTAGCAACAGACAAGTTATGGTGAAATGCAAGAACATGGGGGCGGGGTTAAGCTCAAACACTCCATCCTGTGGTTGTTCACAAACATTTCTTGACACCACGCAGAACTTCATGAAGGCCTGAAGCGGTTACAGAGTCCTCTTCTAACTCTGCTCTGTCCGTTCCTCCTCCTCACAGAAAATGCTGACCTACAACCCGCCGAAGAGGATCTCTGCCCGTGAGGCCATGACGCATCCATACTTCGATGACCTGGACAAATCCACCCTGCCGACTGCTGCCAGCATCTAGAGCCTCCGTAGAAACGGCCTCTGTAAACTATTCACCTGTAAATACTTGTTTGTTTGTGTGGAATTTATTGTTCACCTAAAGTTTCTACAATCTTTTCATTAAAGTTAATCTGTCTGATTCTGAATATTTTTTTTTTGTCTTGGGGCTGAAAATGTTCTTTAAAGATGTCCTGATGTCAAAAAGGAAGAAATTGAGCTTTTTACTCCCAGTTTAACCAAAATGTCAATCCGGACCACCAAGCTGGTTATCAATTCAATAACTTCAGCTTTAACTGATCGTAAATCTGTGAATTTGTACGTATAGAGGGGCGGGTTCAAGGTCGCAGACCAATCAGAACCAGGAGTGCAGAGGAGAGTGCGGTCTCTGTCCTTTAGAGGAACGGAAATATTTCAGCAATAAAAGGTCAAACATGGTGGCGGCATGAGTTAGACATTAAATGACGTAGACAAGTATTGCTGAGTGCGTTAATGAGAGTCACGAAGCATGCATCCCAGTCGCTGCAGATTAATCTCCATCCCCTCTGGAGGGAAGATGACTTAAAGCAGAATTAAACATTTATCTGGTTAGTTGGACGTTTTAATTCCTGAATGTTTGGGCTCCAATAAAGCTGGAAGCTGATGCAACCATTGGATCATTAATACAGGAAGTGATCAGTCTGAGTCAGCTGCTTTTAAAACAATGATGCCTAAATGATCAGAAATACCTGAATGTCTTCTCTACTGGAACCAGAAACACGGAACCACTGAATAAACCTGAAGCTACTTTAAACCCAGCAGGAAGCAGACGGTATCTGAGCTGTTTTTAGAGATGGCTCAGAGCGAAATGTTTGGAATGCGTTGCAGAATGCGGGAAACCAAGGCTATGTTTAAATTCCACATTGTTCACTTAATAAAAAGGAAAGCTGTCCGATTTAGAATCATGTGATGCAAACAGCTTTTATGTTAGTAAAACGGAGCAGGGGGGATCCAGGACGACCCACCAATGCTCCACTGGGATAAGCTCCAGGACACTGACTGCTCTTTAATGGTCTGACTGGTTTGGACTTATGAAGGAGCAAGCAGTAAGAACAGTCACGCACAAGTGATTTTCAAAACACAGGGTTCTTTTATTTAAGCCAAAAAAAAGAAAATGCAACAAGTAAACAATCCAGAAAAGAGGTCAAAGGAACAAAAACTACTCAAAATAACTATAGAAACAAAGAGGAACTTAAATAGTGGCTGATCAGTCAACAGAAACACATGGGGCAAAACATACATAAACCTAAGAAAAATTGAGAAAAACCCCATTTTCTCCCACAGCACTGATGTGGTATAGTCCAAATCAGCTCAGGCCTCCTGCTGGTTCCTTAAGTTAAAAAAAAAAAAAAAAACCACTGGACTTTTCCTCCCAGTTTTAAGGCGTTTCACTTCCCATCAAGGAAGATTTTTCAATTCAAAATGTCAGAAATATATGAAGAAAAAAATAAAAGTCTCACTGGAATCTGCATTTTTTTTTTTTTTATTATGCACTGAATTTTAACCACTGAACTTTTATCAGCTGCAAAAAACATTGCCTGCAAAGAATTCTATCCGAAATGTGTTGACCTTTTGGTGAACTCAAGCTAAAGCAATCTACACTTAATGCAGTCAAGCAGCTTCTAGCTATTTTTGCAGAGGATTTTTTTTTTGCAGCTGAAATTTCACTAGATAAAAATTCAGTGTAAGGAATTTTCATTGTTTAATTTTTTTTTTATTCGGTGTACAAAAAAAAGGCAGATCCAATGGGTCTGTTTTCCATGAGAATCTTCCTCCTCCATGACTTCATCCACATCTTCACATCAGAATCAAACCTGTGAGGAAAACCATGGAGCTCTTTCTGATCCTGGCGTTTCACTGAGCTACGTTCTCCGCTGAAACATTGAAGCTCCACAGAGGCTGCTTTCTGGAAACATCCACTTTATTGATCAAATTAATGAAGGATAAAACAATCATCCCATCTTCGTCGTCTCTAGTCGTGTTCCTCAGCACCGTCCAGCAGGAACTGGCTGATCTGCTCCTTCATCGCAGACCTGCAGCAGATAAAAGGTCAGACCAACTGGGATTCAAATCTGTTAACATCTCTTCACTGGGAACCTCAGCATCTCACCGCTTCTGCCTTCTGTGAGCCTCTGACAGGACGTAAGGAGGAAGATGATGAACGGAGGACTGGAGGGGATGAAGAACGCAGACCAAAAATAAGAAAATCCAACTTTACAGACAGGTCCAGGCTGCGGTTTCCACTCACCATGTCTCTGACAGTCCGCTGGCAGCTGTAGCACAGCAGGCTCCTCATCCCGGCCACCTGGGGGCCCCTGGAAGACAAAGGGCCCAGATGATGCAAGAAGAGGGTAGCATGGGGTCCGCTTTAACCCCCCTAAACTCCAGTGACCATCCTCCGACCCAGAACCCGCCGCTCCTTCTGATCCTTTTCACGTTGAAGTCATTAGTGAACGAAGGTGATGAATAAAGTTTGAACCACTCACATCAAAGCATTGTTGTTATCTGAGCGCTGCTAGCAGTATCAGCTAAAAACAACAGATCGGTGCATCTCCAGAGGAAACCTAACCCTTTATGTCTGGAGGATTTGGTTCCTCAGGAAGGATGCAGAAACGAGGATTTCGTTTTTTATTTTGTTAGAAAAATAAAGGTCTCTGAAAAAAAGATCCATTCATCCATTTTCTTACGTTTTATCCAGGGCTGGGTCGCTGACGCAGCAGTCAAAGAAGATATGCCCGGACCTTAGGCTCATTTATACTCTGACTTAAACCAGGCCGTCTGCATGTGTCGCAGTGAACGCAAACCTTTCCCAGCCCACACACCTCCTCCAGCTGCTCTGGGGGGGATCCCGAGGCAACACCAGACCAGCTCAGAGACATAGTCACTCCAGCGTGTCCTGGGCCTTCCATAAGGCCTCCTCCCAATAGGACATGCCTGGAACACCTCCTGAAGGGAGGCGACCCGGAGGCATCCGGAACAGATGCCCGAGCCACCTCAGCTGGCTCCTTTAGTCGTGGAGGAGCAACGACTCTACTCCGAGCTCCTCCCGGGTAACTCATCTCCACATCCGATCTGGAAGGGTGCGCCCAGCCACCCTGCGACGGAAATTTATTTCGGCTACTTATATTCACGACCTCCTCCTTTCGTTCATTCCCCAGATCTCATGACCACAGTTGAGGGTGGGACAGGGTTTATACAGGAATGAGTAACTCTATTTTAATGCTCTTAGAAATACTTTTAATGCCATCAACAAATGTCCATGACTCACATATATAGATGCATGTGTAAAACACGGAAAAATCCTTCATCTTTACCGTCGACAGGCTGCAGCCATGTCCCAAATTCCTCGTTTTCCAGCCACTTTTGTTGAAGTTAGCATTTTTCCCCCCATTCTCTAGCTTTTCCTCCGCCTTGAGTTTCTTTTCCAAACATACGGCTTTACGATCAACCAGAAGCAGTTCCGTGCAAACACAAAATTGTTTTTAGAAACATTTTTTTTATAAAGCATTTAAAATGCCATGATAATCACATTTAATTAATTATCATGCTAATTAAGTCCTTCATTTAAAAAAATAATAATTTAATGACTTAATGATTTTTAATGACAGGCGGAAACCCTGTGGGAATGTAATCGATTGGTAAATCGAGAGCTTTGCCCCCCGACTCAGCTCCCTCTTCACAACAGTCTGATACAGCGACCGCATCACTGCAGACGCCACACCGATCCGTCTATCAGCCACACGCTCCATCCGTCACTCACTCGTGAACAAGACCCTGAGATACTTCAACTCTTCCACTTGAGAAAAGGACTCTCTACCGACGTTGATCTTTTTAAGACACAAATCGGTCGGTTTCTGAAAAAGATCGTCTAAATACCTCAAAATGAAAAACGGTAGATATTAATCATGAATCCCAGGGGAAATAAATCGATTGCTTACGTTGGAGAAGAAGAGCAGCCAGCATTACAGTCTGCCCCCCCACAGGGTCCAGAGGAGCAGCACCGTCCCACTGCAGCTGGTTCTGGTTCCACTGGGACTGTGGTGGGAAAAGACACGGTTAGAGGAACAATCAGCAGGAACCAGGAGGCCATGCTGGCGAGACACTGCACCTGAGCTCAGAGGACCTCTGGTCTGAGAGAGGCGCTCCGACAGCAGGGTGGCCTGGAGCGCCGAGGCCTCCTCTGGAAGACAGGACAGAACACGCTTCAGTCATCTGCAGCAGGAGGAAGGAGATACGCTCAGATGTCTGCTCAGACACCATCACTGGTTCTCCACACTTCATCTGGAAACCTGACAGACCAGTCTGGGTCTGACCCCCCCTCCCCCTTCAGACACTTGGACAGGTATGGAGCATTGCACACTAACAAAAGAAGCCAACCCACCCCAATTCCAAAGGGGTGGACCAGTTAATCCGTTTCCATTTGAATATTTTCTAAACAAAAACAAGGCTTTGTTGGGATACTCTATGAAACCTTAAACTTTAAGCTATTTCTGACATTTTGAATTGAAAAAGCTTCCTGGATGGGAAGCGAAACTTGGAAACAAAGTAATTTTCTTTTTTGGGGGGGAATGTGTGGTGTTATGGCGCCCTCCAGTGGATTTCTATGATACTACAGGCCATTTTCCTCATGCGTCTATGTGGAGCCGTTTTGCCTGCATGGCTATAGGTATACACCTATATAGTTTCTTCTGTTTCAGATAACCACACATCCACATAGATATGCCCTAAGAAACCAAATATAAGCACCTCATCATCATCTGTACCATTACCTCCAATGTACCTGCCTATATTCCATCAATAAACCTTCTAAGCTGCACCGATGGAGTTGACATATTCCTTCTGACCGAGGAAGATTCAATTGATGACAAATCTGAAATTAGCGCATATCAAATGTACAGTCTTCTACAATATTTTTGTTACAATATGCTGATTTGATGGGCATGCAGGTGGAGCAGTGGTTAGTGTGCATGACCCATGTACAGAGGCCTTTGACCTTGACGCAGCTGACCCGGGTTCGAATCCGATCTGTGTTCCTTTACTCAACATCAGTTATCTTTCTTAAAATAGTCTATTAGTTAATTTGTTGGTAATGAGTTGATGCAATAAGCTTGTTTTCCTTAAATAAAAACATTAAACCAATCTGACTGGATGATCTGGATCTATAGTGACCTGAGATGACATGATGTGAATTGGTGCTATATAAATAAAGTTAACTGAAATTGAATTAACACCACACGGCGTTTCATCAGTTTCCTCTAGGGAGGCAGCTACTCAGCAGAGCCAGGCGAGGACAGAGGTCGCTGCTCTGGAACCTCTGGAACAAGCACTGGAAAACACGCTCTGGAACTGGACTCTGGGCCGCATTGGTGAAAAAGCTGTGACTCACCAGCACCAGGTTCCAGGCTGCTCAGACAGAGCAGGCACCGGTCCGAGTCCTCAGCAGCAGAGGAGAACCTGCAGGCCGTCTGGAGCTTCTCCCCGGTTCTGTTTCCACACAATCATCAGTTTTAGACAGCAGTGAGACAGAACTGGAGAAACACCGCCTTCACGGGTCCAAGGAACCAGATCTTTAAAGTCGTAGGGAAATCAAATCATTCTGGATTAAACATGTATATAAATGTACTCTTTATCAGACCATATGGTCCCAAAACTTAGGGTTTGTTTTTTTCTTAAAATCTGTGTTTTTTTTCGCTATTTTATGCAGGCCAGTTAGTTATACGTCAGCTTTAACACCTAAATTCGGCCAATCATATATCAACGGTCATCTGTCCATCAAATTTTTTCGGTCATAGCATCTTGATTCTTATGTCGCAGCAAATATACGCAACAGTTGAAATCAGAATCCTTTCCTTTCCCATTGAGTTCCGTCCCAGTGTTCATGGGGATGGACGTCTGTGTCTTCAGCAGGCTTAGAGCTAACAGAACTGGCAGCGTTGCGAGGCAAGGGCTCAAACATGTACGGCTGGAAGCCTTCTACACCAAACCAAGCTTCTGCCGCCCTGGTGTCCTCTTCCACAACATCTTTGTTGTTGTGGATGAATGCGACCTGGCCGTTCAGACACAGGTCGCATTCGAAAGGATCAGATTCGTATCGGATTCAGGAACACATAGCCAAGCGGCCTGGGTCGCATTGGAAATAATCGGATCAGAGTTTCTCAGACTGTCGTGAAAAGATCAGATCGAGGTCGCATATGGGCAAAAAAAAAATAAAAAAAATCGGTTTTGGGTACTTGAGGCTGCGGTGTGAACGGAGCCTTAGTCACAAATTTAGTGCTACTTGGTCCCAATGGAATTTCCCATTGGGAAGCTACTTGCACCAAGTTGCTAACTGGTTAGCAACGATGCTTGTGAGAAACTGGCCACAATCAAACTTACTTGCAAACCTTCCGCTACAACAACCCCGCCCCCTTGATTAACGACCAATCACATTCACTTTCGGTGAGAAATTCGGGAGAAATGTTTGGAAAGGCCGTTTCCCTACGACTTTAAAGCTGAGCGGGTTCTGACTGACCGGTAGATGGTGCTGACGGTGGAGGGGAAGTCTGTCTGCAGCTTGGTGACAAAGCTCTCCGTCAGACGCTGGATGCTGGACTTATCGGACGTCTGTGGAACAGATGGACAGATAGGAGCTCAGGAAACGGGTCTTCCTTGGTTCTGATGGTAAAGTGGGATGATCGGACCTTGGTTTCCAGGTTGGGGACGGCCACGGTGGGAACCTTGAACAGGTGGTTGTAGAAAGCGATTTCTTTGGCGGAGTATTCCCTCATGGGCCGGACCGCCACCACATCTCCGTACCTGCAGTCAGAGAAACCCTGCAGAACCGACAGGGTCAGAGTTCTACCGGACCGCCCTGCGACCCATCAGCATGGCAGTACCCACCGTGTCCTGAGCCAGCTGGGCCCCCCTGCCCAGTGAGATGCTGGTCAGCAGTCTCACAGCAAGTCTGGTGCAGCTGTCTCCCAGCATCAGTTTGCTGTAGCTGTGTTTCCGCGCCGTATGGACCAGCAGGTGCTGCCTTAGAGGAGGAAACAGTCAGTCAGCTCAGCCTGAGTGGACCTCAGCAGAACAGAGGACTGCTGTCTGACCTGAGTGTGTTCAGGAGGTCCAGTTTAGCCGTCTGGGTTTGAACTGAGTCCATCAGTTGCTCCAGCAAACGGGTCCGAGACTCATGGACATCAAGCAGGGACTCCTGACCATTCTCCTGTCGAGGGCCCGCTGGGTCCGAACCGCCGCCGCTCTGCAGGAACAGGTCCACAGCCGCCTTGTAGGCAGAATCCGGTCGGTCTGACCGCGCCGAGGGAGCCACCAGAACGGAACCAGGAAGGTCCAGAACCTGGAGCAACAGCAGGCAGAGCAGAGCGGTCAGACAGGATACCAGAACCCCAACCGAGGTTCTGATCGAGCAAGGAGAACCGGGGCTGAGCACAGACCTGCTCCAGAGGGACAATGTAGAACGGGAAGCCAGTAGATCTGAACATCTGCTGGAGATCTGAGGTCTTCTTCCGTCTCATCTCTATAGACTGACCCAGAGCGCCCCCTTCTGTAGATACAGAGAGAGAGAGAGAAGGAGGATCACTAAGGAGGAGGGAGGGAGGGAGGGAGGGAGGGAGGAGGAGCAGCTGATAGATACCGTCTATGTGAACGATCCCAGGCAGGAACCTCAGCTTCTTATGGGCGTTGTGGCCCACACCCTGAGGAGGACAGAGGGATGACAGAGAAGAACCATGAGGACAGAGAGACAACTGGGACGTCCTACAGCAGGAAGTCCACACCTCCATCCTGTGGCCTCCTCTTTCCATCACCTCCGGATCCTCTGAGGTGAGGAGAAGAAAGCGCTGCACCATGAGCAGCGGAGGAACCTCTAACTGGAACTGAATGTTATAACCAGTTCACAACCAGGTTATAAACCAGTTCATCAATGAGTTTGTGTTGATGCCAAACTGGGAGGAGGTGGGGAGTTCTACTGGAAAGAACCAACTGCTATCAGAGGGAAATGCTGCATCACCTCCTGGACCTGACGGAGCATGGAGCAGGAGGAGGGACCTCCAGATACGGCCAGCAGGACCTGCAGAAGAAGGAGACGTTCAGGGTTAGAGCGCTATCATCAGAACCGACAAAACACCTTGGTTCAATCCTAATGACACCAAACGGGTCAGAACCTGCAGATCCGTTTAAGATGGACCTCTACCTTCATCAGAACTCTACCTGATCGGACGGACCTCTACCTGAAGCCTGTTTGCTGCATCTCACTAATTTTCTGTTACATTTATTCATTGGTTCAATAAAACCATGTTGGTGAAAAGCAGGAGCTTCAGGGCATAGACCAGGTTGGTAAACCTGTCCTCCTCACCTTCTCTCCTGGGAAGATGACTCTGGTCTTCCCCAGCATGGCTCTGAACTTATGAATGAAGCTCTCCCTGAAGCAGCTCCTGAGACAGAAACAGGATCAGGACCTTCTGCAGATCTTCCAGGAGCTCTTGCTCATAGTGACCAGCTGCTGTCCTCTGGGGCTCTTCTCCACCAAGCTAGCTGGTTAGCATGGTTGCCTTACCTGCAGTAGGCATCTCCTGCTCTGACCACCACCACTGCTGGCTCCTCCTTGCATTTCATACATTTCTGGGAAAGGCTGAGAACAGAGAGAAGGAGCGTTTGATCCAACCATGAAATGAGCTGAATATCAACTGCTAATGACGCTTCAACACTGTGCAGCATATTTGCATTGTACTGTGGACTATTCATGTCAGAGCTGGGGGATAACTTTCCATAAGTTAGAAGGAATAATACTTTTTATATCTTCTAATATTATTTTTTACTTTATGTTCATCAATTAAATTCCAGCCAATATAATGTTTGCTGCCTGTGGTTGGTCCTAACACAGATTTATATAGTCTCAGTTAAATAGTCTCAGTCTAACTTGACTTGCGCCGCTTCTCCTGTTAATATGGTAAAGCCCTCCAGTGCGTCCGGCTCCAGGCTACATGTGATCCAAACTAACCAATGAGCTGACTGCTGTCAGTCAGTCTGGGTTGCTGGGATGAACAGAATCAATAATCAATAAATATGGATCCAGGCTCAGAATGAGCTCCTTGATATGTGCTTTAGAATGGCTTAGTCTCCATTCAAACCAGGTTTAAAGCCTTGCAGGGCAGCATAAAGCCCACTGCTCTCATTAAGACAGAAAAAAGAAGAAAAAAAAAACTCAGTTCAGGTGTTTTATAAAATATGTGAATCGGGAAATTGTCTATATACCGAACTGAACTGATTGTTTTTCTCTACTTCAAAAAAAACACTTTAGATTTTAAAATGGAAACATTTTCTATTTTTTTCTTGTTTTTTTTATTGAAAAAGTCAATGTATAACATGGATGCATAAAAACATAATTTTAATTCAGTGTTAAATTCTGTTTAAAGTAACAGATTATAATTAAAAATGTCTATTCGGACCCCGCTGATTTTTAACTGGTTACCCCTGATATCCTGAGGGTCTGAGTTTGAGCCCCACTCCCACAGACTGCCACTCTGGGTCCTTGAGCAAAGACTAGTGATGGGTCCATTAACAGCAATACATGGCTGCATGCGTGGAGCCCAAAGAGCAAAACACTATCGCTGAATGTGTCGTTTCCAGAAAGTCATGTGACCGATACAGGAGTCGCTTCAAACCGACTGACTCACTAAACTTTGTTTAAAAATGTATCTGTCAACATAATGCATCTGCTAAAAAAATAGCTCATCTTTTGAAGTTTATCATTAAAATGTTTAAGAATTTTGGAGCAGCCTAAAAGGAACAGAAACGTTTCAGCCGTGTTTTTACTTTAATTTTCCCGTGTCATCCTTTTCCTCTCAGTTATCACTCAACTTATCTGAATTAAAGTCAATTTCAAATTGACTCTTAGTTTATTTGCTGTTTTTACTGTACTTATTGTTTTAAACATATGATTTAAAATACTAGTCCACAAGTATCCTCAGTCACATTTTCCCCTTAATTTTAACGTTTTAATGTTATATGTTAACATTGTTTGTTGGCTGCATATAAAAATATCACTTTTTTTTATTTGAATATAAATATGGAATATTACAATATAACCCAAATGATATCATTGTCTTAGGTCATCAGATCAATTCAGTTCAGTCTGTCCAATCAGCTGCCTGTAGTGTCTTTAAATGTCCAGCAGGTGTCAGTGTTCTGCGAGACAGAATCAACGCAGCAGCTTCAAGATGCCTCATTAAGCATCACTAGCATAAACTCTTACCCCCACACTGCTCCCTAAGGGGAGGGGTTAAATGCAGAGGTAAATGTTTCTAATGTTAGCTCAAAAAAGTTTAATTATCAATTATTATTATTAGTAGTAGTAGTAATACTAAATGATAAAAAACATTTCTGAACATGGCTTTGAGTTCTGTAAAATACATCAACCCCACATTTAACCCCACTAAAATCCTGAATTCGTATTTATAAGGTTTGCAGCTCTGAAAGCTCAGCAACCATTTGTGTCACTGCCAGAACCTTCCGGCCTCCCTGGGGGGAACTAAACGCCAGCAGCTTCGTTCCTACCTGCTAAAACCGTCCAAAACACCGAACCTTTAAACAAGAAAGTTCCGCTGCGGCACAGAGACCCAATACCGCTCGGAAAACCCCGAGCTTTAACAGCCACCCACAATTCATCCATCAGTATAGTATCGTGATTTTTCAGCGCGTGGGTTCTACCTGAGTCTGTCCACGCGCTCCAACTGCTCGTGGTACTCTTCCTCCACCTGACACATCGCAGTAGAGCGATGGCGGCCTAGCCGGACGGGCAGAACTCAGGAGGAACCGGGTGAGTCCAGGTGTGCCGTCTTGATGTTTAATAATCACCACAACTCACAGCTTCTCCGCCTCATTCTTCTTCTGCTTTCATTTCCGGTTAGCAACCGGTCCGAGGCTTACTACCGCCACCTTCTGGATGCAGCGAGACACCCAGTGAAATTGTTGCCCTCTTACACCGTTATGTGCCTTACCTATTCTGTCTCTCAGTGCTGCTGCATCACCTCTGCTTTTCCAGCATTCCCAAAGCATGATTCTGCCAGCACCGTGCAAATTGGAAGTACAAACGTAGATTTGTTGTATGTCCATCCATTCATCCACTTTCCATCACACTTATCCTCTGCTCGGGTCGCGAGGGATGCATATCTCCAGCAGTCAATGGGCGAGAGGTGGGCTACACCCTGGACAGGTCGCCAGTCCATCGCAGGGCAACACAGAGACACACAGGACAAACAACCATTCACGCACACACTCACACCTAAGGACAATTTAGAGAAGCCAATCAACCTAACAGTCATGTTTTTGGACTGTGGGAGGAAGCCGGAGTACCTGGAGAGAACCCACACATGCTCAGGGAGAACATGCAAACTCCGTGCAGAAAGACCCCAGGCCGGGAATCGAACCCAGCACTGCTGCCTTGCAGCAAGAATAGGCCTATTAACAAATTTTGAGAATGCTTTATCAACTTTATCTGAACTAACAGGATATATATCCCTTCCAAGTAAATCTATCATAATCAGGACATTTTCTGGCTTAAAAAAAAGTTAATGAATTATCATTGAATTTTTTTAATCAAACAGAATGCACTGTAAAATCAACAGGCTGGGCAATATTGGTGGGTAATTATTGTATAACCTAGCATTTTTAATCAAGTGAATTAATGGCAGATAATGTCTTTGATGAACCATTCCTTTTTGAAGATAGATTTACAATTAATTGTTATTACTCTGTTGTTCCATAGGGTAGATCTATGGGGAGAAAAGCTGTTCCAGGTTGTCAGCAGCGGGTCGGCGGGACCCCATTTCCCAGAATGCGATGCGCGCAGAGCGCCCGGTGAAACCTCGCGAGCCTCCGTTCGTCTCGCTCCTGAGCGCAGATCTCAAAGCCATCCGGATGCATCCTCTGCTGTTATCCTCGCGTTTGGAGCTCAGATGTTTTAATTGAGGTCAAGCATCGCAGCGTCGTGCCTTCAGTCGCTTCCAATGTTTACCTCTCTAGCATGTCTCCTCCAGCAGAGGGAAACAGCCAGACTTCTCAGGCCAGGAAGCATCTCTATCCTTCATCTTTAGTCAGCCGCTAGCTTAGGACATTCTCTCCCCTCAACTGTCCGGATTATGCTCTAGTCGCTCTCCGGATTGAACTCTTCCTCGCTTTTGTCGACAGCTGGGCTCCTCTTCGGCTCCATGATGGCGATGTTTCGGAGCTTTGTGTCGGGGAGCACCCAGCTCCGCCAGCAGCAGCAGCAGTCCAACAGCGGCCCCGGGCCCCTGGCGGCCCCTCCGGAGGGCGTAGAGAGCCAGTTCTCCTGCCCCATCTGCCTGGAGGTTTACCACAAACCCGTCAGCATCGCCAGCTGCGGACACACGTAAAGTAGCCTGTTGTTACTGGGAGGGAGGCAGGTGTTCATGCTTATTCATGTGATTTCAACCAGTGCAGGTTCTAATAGAATAGCTCTGATCCAGGGGCGGAGATAGGACCATCAGGCCTAAATAAACAAACACTCCATCATCATCATTTTAATCAAACTCACCTTCTGCTGCCTTCAACCATCACTGCTAAGCAAACAGGAAGTCTACTGCAAGGAAAGCTCTGCTCATTGGTCAGTCTGGCTGCTCCTGATGCTGGAAGTGTTGATTGAAAACATCAACCCTGCGGCTTCCTGGGTTTTCCTTTGATCTGCTTGATTGATCCTAACTGATTGATCCTAACTGATTGATCCTAACTGATTCTGATTGATTGATCCTAACTGATTCTGATTGATCCTAACTGATTGGTCCTAACTGATTCTGATGGATCACAACTGATTGGTCCTAACTGATTCTCATTGATCCTAACTGATTGATCCTAACTGATTCTGATTGATTGATCCTAACTGATTCTGATTGATCACAACTGATTGATCTTAACTGATTCTGATTGATTGATCCTAACTGCTTCTGATTGATTGATCCTAACTGATTCTGATTGATCCTAACTGATTCTGATTGATCATAACTAATTGGTCCTAACTGATTCTGATTGAT